AATAATTTATAAGTTACCTTCTTCTTGGGGGAGTCTGGGTGAGGCTGTAACTGAAACAGAGATTGTGCAGAAAATCAATTCAAGAACACATATTGTGCATAAAAATTTCAACTTTTTAGCAACAACAGCAGCTTCAGGTTGCCTCTTCATACTGTTTATTTTACTTTGAATTATTCCCTATCTCAGTCTGAATCTGCATGGAGGCTCAGCTCAGGATACTTCTGAGTTTTAGAGAGAGAATATGATATGCAGAGTTTCAGTGCTAATGGTCACGAAAGTGAACTAACCACATTGATGGCTAGAGAAGGAAAGTGGAGATAATTGAAGTAAGGGAGACTTGACAGTGGACACGACTTGTCTACTGGATTATTATATTTGGAACTTCATTTAAATGTCTTATTGTTACATTTGTCTCTTTCAAATAATGTGAATGTGGGATAAATACATATTTTTACTGAACTTTTTAAATGTTTTTTTATTAGTTATCGAACCTTCTCAAATATTTTTTAATTATTGTTGATTTTTAAAGTTATCTAAGTTATCATTGATTTATCAAAATATTATCTCATTTGTCACACTGATTTAAAAGTTAACACAGTTGATGATTTTACCGAAATGTTATCTCACTCGTCATTTTAACTATCACGTCATTTAGTCTTCTAAGATTACAGAGTGATGAAAGAGAATATTTTGGTACATTCAATTACAAATCAAATAACATTTAGTGTTCAATGACAATTGTGAAACATTTCAATAAGTGACATTTTTGAAACATTTTAAAGTTTAATATCAATTGATAAGCATTTGAGAAAGTTTGATATCTTTTAATGCAAAAATGATCTAATGAGCACCGGTGCTCATCTTATCTTAAGCACCGATGAGTTGGCACATTAATTCATTGGTGGATAAAGATTTTGTGAGTTCCAATCCACCAATAAATTAGTGTGCCAACTCATCGGTGCTTAGGATAAGATGAGCACCGGTACTCATTAGATCATTTCTCTCTTTTAATGAGTTCAATTAAGACTTCACTCGTTCTTTCGAATTTGTTTGTATTATATCTCTATAACTCAGATCAGATTTACCGTTGGATGAATTGCAGTTGCAAATATTGATAACCTTCCTCAAAGAAAGAAAGAAAGGACGGTAAGTATAGCTAGGCCCTAAACAATATTTTTAAGACACTAAGAATTTAGTTAAAGTTAGACCAATCAACTCCACTTGGCTATCCAATAAAATTTGTTGATTGATTTTTTTCTTTAACTATGTTCAATTGTACCAACAGGCACATGTATTAAATGACTAAATTATCTTCATTTAAGTTTTGAAGGAGTGACAAAAAAAAAAAAAAAAAA